ACTCCGGGGCTCCCCGCCCGCCACGGAGCCCAACAAGGGGACACATTGCTCGGATTACCAGAGCTGTGCCAGGGCTACCCCGAAGCTATACTCTCAACGAGAAAGTACGAGACCCTCCCGTCAAGATTGACTCAGGGCTTGATGGGGTTTCAGCTCTCAACCGATTGAGTGGCATGGGCCGTGCCACCCTCCCGCCTAAGAGGAAAACCTAGGCCAAAGAGGTGTGTTGGCGAGGGACAGTCCGTTGACTGATCTCACCTCAACCGCCAGGTACCCGGTTTCCCTACGCACGGGTCGCACCTCACGGTCAACAAGGCGCCCACTCTGTGGGATGGGTGACCTCTCTTTTTGCTGCATATGAGGTCAGCGGTGGTAGGAAAGATAGAAAAAGAATTGAAAGAAAGAAGGAAGGAGAAGAGGAAGATACACCAAAGTAGGTGTCGCATCCGGATCTCAGAGGATTGGGGTCCGAGTGCGACACCTCGCCTTTGAAAGGGTTGCACCTTCTGCAGACGAAGCAGTGGGTCTATTTATATCCCCCCGACCCACTGGGGGTATGTTGTGGTCTGTTTCTACTAGTAGTACTAGTGTTCATGTAGCATACTTTTGTTAGTTTGTTTATTTTGTTCTTGTGTATAGTCCTTCTTTCCGATCAAACATCTATCGTCCTGATCTCTCCTCCTTCTTTTTTGTGTTTGTTACTCTCTTGTAACACCTCTAATCTTCGGCACTTATATGACCTTATTGTGTTGCAAGTGCCGTAAAACTCTTACTAAGATAATCTGTGGGTGGTTGGCGGGTGCTCAGGTGTGGTTTGCTTCTTCTTTCCTATTATTAGTAATCTATTGTCCTTATCTCCCCACCTCCCCTTTTTATGTTTGTTACTCTCTTGTAACACCTCTAATCTTCGGCACTTATATGACCTTTTTGTGTTGCAAGTACCGTAAAACTCTTACAAAATAAAAAAATCCTTTGTGGATGGTTGGCGGGTGCTCTGGTGTGGTATGCTTCTTCTTTCCTATGAAACATCTATCGTCCTTATCTCCCCTTCTTCTTTTTTATGTTTGTCTTGTTACTCTCTTGTCACACTAACACCTCTTCCGGCGCTCATATGACCTTATGCAGTTGCGAGTAATACCTCTACTAAAACTAAGGGAACCCTAAAACTAAACTAAGAATAAATTGAAGATAATCCTTACCATGTCTGTTCTTGGCCAGCAGGACATCCCATCATGTGTAGGTACATTATACAGTGCCTTAAGAAAAAAAAAAGCGGACCCTTTTGTAATACACACTGTCACGTCTGCACTTATTTCAATAAAACTTGTAAAAGTACGAGGGGGGGGTGTCAATAAGTCTTTGGTCTGGGTATGATGGAATACTTGTTACTTGTGTAAAGGACCGACATCACTACACAAGGGGCATCCCCATCAGCACATCTCGAAGTGTGTAGATGCTGACGGTTCCAAGCAATGGTTGATTCCATAGCCTTCTGCTTCTCCCACCAAGCCTTGGTCTTCTGCAGGCGCCCCATCCAATTTCAAGCTCACGAAGTCACTCAAGATGATGGTATTCCGATTCTTCTTGTTCTTTTTCCCGTTTTTCCCTGACTGAACGCACAATTTCAGGTTTGTCAGGGCAAAGCTTTTCTTCAGGTTTTGCTTTCCCAGCGAGCTCATCATCAGCCCGCTCATTGCCCTTGACCCCAGCATGCCCCGGGGTGAAGATCCAGGTGATCTTTTTCAGTGCCATCTTCTTCAGGAGCTCTGTCCGTTCAGCTCTAAGGTTCCTCAGAGAGTCTGTTGAAAAGATCACATGTGCTTGTCGGGTTGTTCAAAGTTGTTGTAACCCATTTGAGAGCCTGGGTGATTGCCTCAATCTCCATTCTCATTCTAGATGTTGTCATATCATATGCTCTCTGCTGTCCCTGCACCAATCTGCCACTCACTCTTGCTGAGAAGCCCCATCCAGATTTCCCCCCTTGTTTAACAGATCCATCCGTGTATATAACCACATCTCCATGCCGTGAGTTTTCTTCAATCAGTTGTCCTATCTCAGCATCTGTCGCCCACTGCGGCCACTCTCTACATTATCTGTTCAGCGTAAGCTCTACCTTCCCAAAATATGCCTGCTGTCTCTCATTCATCTTTTTCCATTCTTCACCTTGCGGTATATCTTCCTTGCTGGTGTTTTCAGCCTCGGCCATCCAAGTCAAGAAGCTCCTCGTTTAGGCGATTTCCCTTGATTGCTCCAATGGCTTTGTGAAGTATGTGTTACTTATCAGCCCCCACCCTCATGTGCACCCTAACATGAGCCACTTTGTGTCCTGTTTTCCACTGACATGAAGCCCAATACGTGCCTCATACAGATAACTGGCGTATCCCTGGTTCAGCCTAGTATGATGCGCATGGCCTCCTTTTGAACTCGATCCAACTTGTCCAGTTGAGTTTTCGCAAAGATGGTGCAATGTAGACTCTTTGTTTACCGTCAGCTTTGGGTATATGTCTTTACTATTCGATTGTTTAAAGAGAACCACAGTGCTGTGGCCTTCTGAGGATTGATCACTGCAGTCGATTCAGCATACCACTCCATGATTTTCTCAACCTCTTGCTGTAATTCATGTGTCATTTTCTGCCGATCCCGTCCTTGCCTGTAGGCCAAGATGTCATCTGCAAACTATGTTAGTATTCTCCCTGGCCTAACGCTGTTTAGCGTTGCTATACGAGCAGTGTAAACATTGAACAGTATCGGCGATAAGGGTGAGCCCTGTGGGAGTCCTGGTCTTATCACCTGTGGGCTTGAAATCCATTGACCACACCGCAAAGCCTTTTCTTTCTAGCATTGCTCCTGCAATCCACCCAACAATTCACGGATTCACGTCAAATCTAGCAGAGCACACATTAGCCTCTCATAATTTACATGATTGTAAGCATCTTCCAAATCTAATGCTATTGCAACGGTCTCTTCTCCTATCTGAAAGCCTTCATATACATCATATGCGAAGGTCCCCGCGTTGTTCCAAGTTTCCTTTCTGGGTCTGTAACTCCCTAACTCCTTAGGTAGGTTCCCGTTGTTCTCTTGCTCGTCCATATTCATAAGTATTCTTGCTATGCATTTTTCTAGCACTTTTCCATACACATTTTGCTTGGTGATAATGCGATATCCGTTGAGTTCTTTGTGATTCTTCCCAGGATTTGGTAGTGGCTTTATTTAATAACTGTTCAGCCACTCTCCTGGTACAGTTGATGTACTGATGCTGCTGTCGTAGTCATCTGCAATTTCTCTAGTTCCTTGTCACTGAGCTCATTAAAGTGTTTGTACTGTATCCCGTCAGGACCTGGCGTTGAGTTGTTGGTGGTGTTTAACACAGATTTGACAAGATCTGTTGTGATGATGTTGTCATATTCCTCGTCCTGCATGATTCCCTTAAAAATTTGACATACTTCTTTCCTTGTCTCAGCATCACCCTGATCAGTCTGTGTGACGTATCTTTTAAGAAAGGCTTCCCCTTTGCTTGCATCATCTCTCAGAATAGTGATTCCATCAGTGCTCTAGATATCCGGCATTGAGTTTGCTGTGCGCCCGTTGTCCATTCTATTGTGTAACTTCCAAATTTTTTGAACATGTATATCCTTGTCTTGTCCAATTTCCCAGACAAATTTCTCCCACCTTTCTTTTTTCGCTCCTTTGGCTATTTTCTTAAATGAGTGTTTCCTTAAAATCCACACATCTCCTGTTCTTTGTTTCGGCAGCTTCCTGGATGATTTGTTGCTCACTGGTGTTGTCTTTACGAAGTTTTTGCCACTTTTTGACCGCTTGCCTTTTCCTCTTCCATGCTTCCTCACATTCCTCGTTCCACCATGGTGGTTGTACAATCTGTTTCTTATTCGGTTTTCGGGATACTTTACTTCGCAGCTTTCCTAGGGGTGCGCCATTGTCTTTCTTGCAAGTAAAAGCTTTCATTCGGCGCTTGTTTCTTAGTGGTCTGCGGCTTCCCTTTTCGATCATTACGATGCATGGAAGGTGATCACTTTCGCGTTGCCCTAAA